GCATTTGAAAAAAGAGGAATCTACTGTACATATACACAAAATAAACCTTCTTAATTGCTGTCAAAAAATAAAAATGGTTGCTTTATCACAAACACAATCATGCTGCGACAAATATATATATGTCTGAATATATATATGTGCAGAGAAGGAGAGGTAGTATGTTGGGTTAAACGCCAAAGCTTAGCGGAGCGTCATCGGTATAGAGTTGGATAGGGAAAACAGAGATCTCGTGAGTAAAGCGGAAAAACGGTTAACATGTAGAAACATTGGGATCCACTGGTATACTGACTGGTTTACTGGCAACTCGTTTACTGTGCGTTTGCAATAAAAACTGAGGAGAGTTCTGGCATGTTTGTGTGAGTGTGTGTATGTTTGGTTCCCTTAAAGGCTGATGTGAAGAAGTCATCCTGTAAAATATTGAGGTATCTGTTAAATGTATCTGAAAGTAAGGCTACTGAGGTGGAGCTGACCTGGGTTGAGAGGGGAGAGAGCATCAGCTACAATACTCACGTTAGCCATTAGTGAACAAAAACTGTCATGTACAACCGTTACAAATGTAGTATTCCATTGTGATGTTGAACAACAGTGGAGCAAAGCTAAATAACTGATGTTTTTTTGTAACTTGCTTTTGCTTTTTTTTTTAAAGTCTAAAATTCCAAGAGCTGCAATGCGAGAAATAGTCAGAAAATGAATGTCACACTTTGGGTTCCGGAGGCGACTTTCCCTCAGTCGCCGCTGCCTGTAGAACACGTCACTACATCTGTAGATTCTCATTTTAAAAAATAATTGTATCTCCTAACATCTTCAGTACAGATTCTACAGTCTTCTGGAGGTCCAATACCAACGTTTTCTGGGGTCCGATTTCTACAGTCTGTTTTTTTTTTTTCAGTTTGAAAGTGACACGTCCAATTCCAAAGCAGCTACATTTTCCATCAGCCCTTGGTGCACCACCGTTTTTCTTCTTTTTTTTTTTTACCAAAAGCAGAGCCTGAGTGGCTGCTATGAAGAGTAATCCTGCTGTGATTGGCTATTGCAGAAGAAGAGGTGGTTAGATGGTTGGGTGGCGGATGAGGAAGCACGCTCATGCTGCTGCTAAAACAGTTGGCCATTGGCTAATTCCTGGATCAGTCATTTGAGGCAGTGTTAGTTCATGGCCACTTGATTGTGTTTGACATGCTGCTTCTGGAAAGCGCATCTCGGGTTTTTTTTTTTAGAGCCGGGGATCTGCCTTTTTCTTTGTCAATGGAACGATTGTTTCTCCTCTGTGTGTTTGTTCCTCTTGGGTGGAGCTCCAGGTGATTCTATTCATATTCCACAAGCAAAAGTCCAACTAATTCGTATGAAGTTGCTTGAAATCCAGTTGTTAATTTTGCAGTCGGAAAAAGGCTCCAGAAGTCCACCGGTCTCCAGCACAGCAAGCCAAAGCAGTAGCAGGGAAACGCTGACACACAATCAAATTGACAATCTTGAAAAGAAAATAAAGAGAAAAAAAACAAACAGATTTTCACGAAAATGAAATGGATATACTGTATAATTGTCAAAAGCAATTGATAGACTTTAGAAACAGAGAAAGAGAAAAGATGTACATCCATAAGCTTGGAATGGACAGAGCGGACGTCTCCTGGTGAGGACGCACTGAGCTGTTAGGAGTCTTTTAGAAAGGCTGCCAGATGGTGCGACGAGACTCAGCCAGTCGGAATGATCGACACCTCCACCACTGGGAATGTTCGGCTACATGAACCCTTTCAATTATTACACGTCGGATTTCGTCGGAGTCCCATCATCGCATTTATAAGAGCATCATCAGCACTAGGGTTGCAAAATTCCGGGAATTTTCAAAGATGGAAACTTTCCATGGGAATTAACGGGAACCCAACTATATTTAAGTTCTCTATGAAGAGCCAACCTTCAATTTTGAAAATTCCCAGTTTATTCCCATAAATTCCCGTTTATTCCCGTTAATTCCCATGGAAAGTTTCCATCTTTGAAAATTCCCGGAATTTTGCAACCCTAGTGCTGATGATGCTCTTATAAATGCGATGATGGGACTCCNTCATGGTTGCTTCCGTGGAAGCAAATAGTGTTGTATAATGTAGAGGATCTGAAGGCCCCTCCTCAGTTCTGTGTGTGTCGTCACATATAAGAAAGCGCTGAGAAGTGTGTGAGGAGTCCTTTTATATTTTTGTGATGTGTGTACAGTATATGAGAATCCTGATGGACCACACGGGGGTGCGTGCAGGCTTTAACCCGAGAGTGCATCCACTTTATAGACTGACATAAACAAACATTGTGGATAGAGATTATCCCCCCAAAAAAAATGTACTCGGCTGGTTAGATTGCTGCTAAAACAGTTAGGGCCAGGTAGTTGGAAAGAAACCGACTTACCGGCTGTTGCCTCAGGGAAAAGTTTGTCTGATGATTTTGTGTACTTGGTGTTAATGGTGTGTGTGGCGTTAGCTTACAATCATAAGGCAGAGATCGTTTTCTAAGCTCTAGGCATCACTGTGACTTCTAATCGAACTACATAACAGTATAAGTAAGCTAAACGTTTTTTGAAATAACAATTACTACAACATTTTTACTCCTTATCTGTTCATGAAAAACTTAAGACGGTTTGTACAATCCATTAGAGATCACTGTTAAAGCTGGTCTTCTCATTAAATGGCCACATAAAAATAAAAACAAACAGTGATTTATATAAGCCTTAAGGTAATTGTATTCAGGGAAAGTAAAGATGAAGGAAGCATTGTAACATACAGCTGAACAGAGACCTTTTATAACGAAACACGTAATCAAGTGCCACACTTCTTTCTTTTTTTTTGGGTCACATTTCGATCAATTTCAACACCAGCCACAGAAGCGAGGTTTAGGATGTTAAAACATCACTACATATCATTTCTCTCGACACAGTGCATGCTCACCCTCTCTCGCAGGCCTGCATCGCCCCCTTGTGGACAAACTCTGTAAATACCACTTGCTAAATCTGTACATAGTTAGAGATTAATGTAGACAAAATACTAAGAGAACTCAACTGTCGATGGCAAGATGCTCTGGAGATGCAGCACTATATGCAATTAGGAGATGGACTCTTTTGTTGTATTCAACTAGAATGGACAGAGGTGGAGATCCTGGTCATGTGACTGAGCTGGTCGGAGCGTTTGAAAAAAGACTGCTGGACACGGGTTGGACCAGAAAGCTGATATGTTTTTTAATCTTTACAGTATCACTTTCTATGATACCTATCTATACCTTAAATGCATTATAATCTGCTTATGGCACTGTCTCATTATTATTGGCCTTGTAAAAATTGTTAAAGCTTTAAAAAAATATCAATTTAAGAACATATAATGATATATATATATATATATATATAGTCATATAGTCATATAGTCATATAGTCATATAATGACTTATAAGTTAAAGTATCATACAACCTTTTAATCAATTGTCATTTATCTTTATTCCTAGAGTTGTAATACTTTATACTTTTTTTATATTATGCATTATAGTCACTGTTATAATGCACAATATGTTACTTTAAGTGTGTTCTTGCATACATATATTGATATATACTTTAAACACTTAGAGTAATTCATATTCAAATTATAATGCATAATAGCAGAGATAATAATGCATAACGCAAAAAAGTTTTACAACTATAGGTGTGACAAATATAAAGTATCATGATGCTTGGCCTTATAAGTCATCATACACATGTTTTATTTAGTATGATTGAATATTTTTGAGGTCTTTAACTATAGTGCTATAAAAAGTATATAACATATTTGAATGATGTCATAATGCATGGCCTCATAGAAAGTGTTACGCTCATCATTTTCAGCCAAGTTAAAACTGTTTTATATAAAACAAAGATACAGATGGTGTGTCACAGATCGACCTTTACCAATGTAATCCCTAAAATAATAATATTACTAATAATAATTAGGGGTGCACCATTTGGAGAAAAAAATACTTGCGATTACTTTGACTAATATTTTAATTGCAATATGATTCACGGTATTGGAGGGATTGATCATTTTTGCAAAATAATTGTCTTATATATATTTTAAGAAGAAGCTTTGTGTCATTTTAAGAGAGGATCCGAAACAAACAAACATGTGTTATTATCTCCTATTGTGCATCTTTCAATTTGAATATTGCACAAGTGCAAGTTCCGTCTTTGATACAATTCAAAGGAATTGTGCAGTTCTTATAATAATGAATAGTAATAATAGATGTCCAGCATTGGTCCAACCCTGTCCTGATTAGGGTTGCAAAGGGGCGGAACATTTCCGGTAAATTTCCGGAAAGTTTCCATGGGAAGTTAAGCTGGGGAATTTTGGAAATATTCGATGCAAAATTAAACAAAAAACATGACATTTCAACAGATTTCTTTATTATTTTAAAGTAGAACAGAAGAAGTTTTAATTTTTTTTTAACAATTATTTGTTTCATTGAAAAATGAAAACAGGAATGTTGAGTTAAATATTAATTAATATTATTAAATTAAATATAAAATGGACCCCCCATCCAAAAATCCCCACAAAGTCCCATTCAAAATGTTAAATGAAAAGAGCCCTTCTCCCTCCAAAAAGTCCCATAAAACATGCAAATATTCCTTCAAGCAACCCACTGCTAAACCCTTTCAGTCAACGGGCTCTTCCTGGGCCTCAGCAACATCCAACTCTGAGTTTTCCTCTTCAGTGTCTGTGTCCAGCCTTGTTGAGGATGGCTCTGTGTCCGGCTCAGAGAGTAAGCAATGTGCTATGGCATGGATATTCAAGTGTACTTGAATGGCATCTGTTTGTTTTAGTCAAGATCATGATAAAATATACGTTCCCCAACTATATTTAAGTTCCCTGAAGAGCCAAGCTTCAATTTTGAAAAT